AGAACTTACACTTCAACCCAAATTGTCAATATATGGCCTACCCTGTCAACTAGGGATTTCCAAAATGAGATGAAAAGATAATCCATAGAAATTTTGGAAAAAATATTATTACTTCTATTTGTATTTGTAATATAGAAGTAAAATTGAAAAACAACCTCCACTATTACTTAATATACAAAGCAACACTGATACCTCCAGGAAGTTCCAGTGTACATGTTCACTTGTCATGTACAGTGTGCTACCTATGAGATGGTTAGGACATAACATATTCCCTTTTATATGTGCCTGCTTAAATTTGTATCCTTACTAATTAAGCTCTCCCAAAATGAACAAGTAGCTTAAAATAATACATGCAAGGAAATCATATTTGCAAATACTAAAGATGTGAATAGGAGCACACATAAGAAAAGGATGAAGCTTACATTTACCCTATTCCCTGTATGAGTTCTGTCAGGCAAGCTAAAAGATAAGGTTTTAAAAACAGTGCTTTGAAATGGTTCCATCACTGCAGTATTCAATTTTTAATCTTATTCATCAATAAAGCAAATTATTCCATTCAAATTTGTCTATTAAAATGTCACTATCCCTAGTGACATTTAGAACAGTAATTCTTCTAAATGCCAATGAACCTGCGGAACTTCTAAACTTTAGCAAAATTGGTCAAAACTAATAAAATTATTTATTTCAAAGATTTTAATTAGAAAATTCTGTTTCCAAATGTTTAAAATTTGCAGTAATGAAAACTATCGGTAACAGAGACTCTCACATGGCTTTTGGCAACAAAGTCATGATAATGAAGCATATTTGTGTATTGTTTTCAAAGGTTATCATCATGAAATGTATTTTGGCAGGACATTTTTCTGATAATAAATCAATCCAATGTTATTTATTTGTATTTATTATTTCCTGTTTGATAGTGCATGTATATAATTTTTAAATGTATCTATACATACTGTGAGATCCATAATTAAAAACTTGGACATCTAGGTCTATTCCATCCAAATCATTCACCATTGCAGAAAAGAGGAATGATTTAATGGTAAACCATGTATGGAGAGAGATTACATTCTGAAAATACTTCAAGATAAAGAATGTTTATTCAATTTTTTGCCCTTGGTTTAATGTACACATAATGGGTGGGGCAAAAGTAGGTTTACAGTTGTGAATTTATTCTTATTAATTACTAGAGGCCCGGTGCACAAAATTCATGGGGGTGGGGGGCGGATTGGATCCCTCAGCCCGGCATGCACCCTCTCCAATCCAGGACCCCTCAGGGGATGTCCGACTGCCAGGACCCCTCTCCAATCCGGGACCCCTCAGGGAACCCCTCAGGGGATGTCCGACTGCCGGTTTATTGGCTTAACCGGCAGTCGGACATCACTCTCGCAATCCGGCACCGCTGGCTCTAACCGCTTGCCTGCCTCCTGGCTTGATCACCGCCTAACCGCTCCCCTGCTGGCCTGATGGCCCCCAACTGCCCTCCCCTGCCAGCCTGATGACCCCCAACTGCAGTCCCCTGCAGGCCTCATGGCCTCTAACTGCCTCTCCCTTGGCCCCCACCACCGTGGCTTTGTCTGGAAGAATTCAGACGGTCAGGAGATGTCCAGTCTCCCAGTCTAATTAGCATATTACCCTTTTATTTGTATAGATTGTATTATTTCCATACTAACCACTTGGTCTGGGGGGTGATTAAAGCTGTTAGATGGCAACAAGAGAGAGCAAGGCACATTTTACTAAATTGATGTTCTACCAAACCCACCCAAGAGTACAGCATCTTTTTCTTTTAATCTTCACTGGAGGACATGAATAGAGAGGAAAGGAGGGGCAGGGGAGAAGAGAGAAAGAGCAATGGGTTGTTTTCCTTATGCTCCTTGACCGGGGATCAAACTGCAACTCAGGTATGTGCCCTGACCAGGAATTGAACCTACAACCTTTCAGTGCATGGGATGACACTCAACTGACTGAGTCCCTCTGGCCGGGCAAAAGTAAGTCTTTCTTCTAAAGAAACAAACTTCCCTATGTTAGTTTCAAGGATTTGCTCTAGTTTTCTGCTCACTAAGGGGACTTAACCATTGTTTTTGTTGAATTTTAATGAATTATGAAACTGTTCACATTATTTGCAACCAAATAACTTCCAGCATTTAACTGAAGGAATTAGAAGCTAGATTTACATGGAAAAATGGTGGGTCATAAATTTATTTCCAGTCCTGAAAAGAGAGTCAGTTAGAGCCAAAATATGTGATCTAGAACTAGTGAAAAAGAAAACAGAGCAATTTACCACTCAGCAAAGTAGCCAAAATCCCTGGCTCATTCATCACTTACTTGCTCATGAACTCTTTTTATTTTAAATTTATTTTTCAATTAAAGTTGACATACAGTAATATATTAGTTTCGGGTCACCTCAAAAGTCTAGTACTCATCTGACATCATACATAGTTATTACAGTACTAGGAGCCCAGCGAGTGAAATTGCGTGGCCCCTCCCACCTACCCGCTGCCCTGTCTTGACACCCGAACCTCTCCACACAGAGCTCCAGTGCACCTGGCCCAGCCCCCGACCCCTCTCCTCTGGCCTGCTCTGGCCCCTTCAAGCCCCATCCTCAGTCCCTCAAGTGGCCTCGGGCTGGTCCAGCCTTCTCCAGGCGCCTCCCTGCTTCAGCCCTGTCTCCGTCTCCATCTCCCCATCATGGCACCAGCGGAGAGCGTGGAAGCCTCCCCACTGCTGTGCTGTGCTCCTTCCCCTGGCAGTTGGGCAGCGGGGCGCTCTGAGTGCAAGCGGTGGGTGGTGAAGGAGTGGTGAGGGGGGTGCGCTACAGGCTCTCACCCCTGCCCTCCTGGGCACAGGATGGTCCCACCTCCTCTGGGCGCCTCTCAGCTTCCATCCCATTTCTAGAGCAACGCCCCGCTGTAGACGCGCAGGCAGCCTCCTGTGATAGGTCATTAGCATATTAGCTCTTTATTTTTATGATTACTGACTATATTCCTTATGTTGTACTCTATGCATCCCAGGCTAGTTGATTCTCCAGGGTTTGGGGAACCACTGCAGTCACAAAGCTATTCCCCTGATAGCTAACTTAGTTTTTAGTCATTCTGAAAATCTACTCTTTTTAACTTTGAGTCCTATCTTGACCTCTGTAATCTCACACAAAAATTAAAACATAAATAAACAGAATAAAATGTCAAAACCTCATCTATTTTCTAAAGTCATTCTACAAATAAGACCACAGGCTCAGAGGGCTCAAAGGCAACAATATGTCCAGAAACTTCCATAACACAATAGGACAACACAATGACATATTCAATTCTCTTGATTGTACAAATATACATTTATTGAAGCCCTATTATTTCCACATATTGTGCTATACAGAGGGAATAAAATGGCCAGTAATACAGAGTTGATCTCTGCCGTCATGGAGTTTAAAGACCAGAGGAGAGGACAAGCTGGCAATTACAACAGAGAATGCTAAGCAGTACTATACCATGTGGCCTTTTTTAAAAAATATATATATATTTTTTTATTGATTTCAGAGAGGCATGGAGAGGGAGAGAGAGATGGAAACATCAATGATGAGAAGGAATCGTTGATTGGCTGCCTCCTGCATGCCCCATACTAGGGATCGGGCCAGCAATCCGGGTATGTGCCCTGACCAGGAATCGAACCATAACCTCCTGGTCCATAGGTCAATGCTCAACCACTGAGCCATGTTAGCCGGGCCCATGTGGCCTTTTAACACATATATTTGCAGTTTCATATCCACCAAATTTTCTCTTCTTCCATAATCAAAACGAACGTTTAGGTTAGCAATAAAGAACCTTTTCTTCTGCCAAGGCCACTTGGATATTTATAACATCGTTTGCGGGCCATTCAAAATTATCAACTTTAAAATTACCCTGCTATATTTGGGCAAACATTTAATTAACTCATCCCTAATGCCTTGGCAGGGCCAGACCAAATGATTTTGCTGGCCTTATAAGGCCACAGGCCAGACGTTTTCCACCCCTGGTTTAGATGCAGTTCCTCTCAGAGAAACAAATTACTTTAGAGGTGATTTTAAATTCCTTAACACATTTTTACACATATTGGTTGCTTCGTCACAACTTACATCCTGAAAATTCGTTTGAAAACATACAACTCTCTCAGGACTCTGGAGACAGAGAACAAGATACATCTGAGAGCAGAGAACCAAAAATATAAACATAGTACCATCCCTGATTTGTACTCCTATTAGCCTATAGAAAAATTATATTGTAAGCTGGTATTACTTGTGAGAAATCTTTGAAAGGACAAGAGAAGCGTGGTTAATCTTCCAAGCCCCTTTTTCTATGTGCACCGAGTGCTTAAGATATCCAGGGAAGTAAGAGATGTTCAGTCTGGAAAAAGATGAAGACATGCTATCACATCATTCCATTACAGCAGGGTTAGTACTACCTGAGTGGAGGTACCTGCGTAGCATAATGAGAACCAAAATAATGGCATTTCTCCCACCAACAGAAAGAGCTGGGGAAGGTTTCACAGAGGTGGCATGAAGGCCCTGAGTGAAGACGGGTGATCAGGTCCAGAGGTAGGATGGAAGAAAACATCCAGGTAGTAGTCAGCTTTACTGTTACTTCCTCTTTATAAGATATCACCTTCCCAGAGCTGCTGACCATCAGGACCTCTCAGGAGGTATAAGGAGTTATCTGAGCTCACAATGTAATGATGGCAACCTGCTACCTAGGGAAAGACTCCTCCATTCAAGCTGGGATGCAGGAGGGAAGTCCTCCCAGAGAATATGAATTAGGTGGAGCCCCACATGTTCCGTTTACCAAGGCTGATATTAATCAGCTCTGAACAACTGAGGAGGAAACTAGTCCATTGTTCAGCAGGAAAGAGCTAAATGATAGCAATCGGTGTGAACAATAGTGGTATTAAGAGAAGTGAACTTGGCAAAGGTACTTAAGCTGTACTTCATTTGAAGATTACAAAGCTCTCCTTCCACTAAGAAGGGAAGGAGAAGGTAATTTTTTTTGTCTTGAATGACAGGACCCTGGCTTGGGAAAGAAAGTGAGTTGCCTCATTTGGAAAGGAAACCTAAGCTTCAAGCCAATTCTTCTCCTAAAATCTCAACAGGAGCCAATGCAGTGCACATTCTATTCCATTAAACTAACATTTGTGATGTTTACAGACTGGGATTCACCAGAAAGTCTACCCAAACGTGACCCCAAGTACTTGCGAAAGGGCTTTTCTTTCACATATATTTGCCGTTTCATACCCACCCAATCTTCTCTTCTTCCATCATCAAAACAAATGTTCAGAGCAGAGAACAAGGAGATGCTTCTTAGGTTTGCAAGACTAGCCCTGATCATTTATCACTTCAGCTGTGTGAGCTTAAGGACTACGTGAGACTCTCCCGGACTAGGAAAGGAAGCTAGTGGTGTGTACTTTATAGGGTTTCTGAAAGGTAAAGTACCTCAAATTCTTAGCACAGGGCTGGCACTAATGAAAACATAAAATAAGCCAAACATAATATGTTTCTATCACACCGTCTTCCTGGCCAGGGGTACCGCAGGCTTATGATCTACAAAAAGATACCCTTCGGCAGTTGGGCTTCTCTCAGAAAAGCCTCTTCCAAGGGACCATCTTCCCACCAATAACATATCTGCGCATCTCAAGATATCCGGAGGCCTTATTTTCTCCTTACGATGGATGCTGGGGTCCCTCAAGAGGAGAGTGTTCAAAAGAGAAAAAATCTTAGGTTGCATAGTGTTCCTTTTACTCAAAGGCTGCATGGCGAAGCCCCCTAAGACTTCCAGAACAGTTTTTCTTTCTCCTGTAGAGTAGTCTCTGGCGGTTCACATTCCAAAATGGTGGTGGCTGCTTTCCACAGAAATGTTCAGGAGGGCAGCTGCTTTGGAGGTAGGTCCCCAGGCCTCCTCTGCATTCTACATGCACAGACAGACTCCAGAGGGCTCTGTGGCTGCCAGGGGCCTCCGCTAGCGGTTAGAGGTAGGTGGTCCAGTGCGGCATGCTGCTCAGCCTCTCAGCCCCAAAGCCTGGTTGGGGCTGTGGTTTTAAAAGAGCCCCTCAACAGATGCTCTATGTAATAACTACAAGACAATAAAAACTGGAGTTAATACTGTCTCTTCACAATGCTTAAGCATATTAATTTCTTAAGTAAAAAAAATACCCGATGCTGGGTTTTTGTGTGTGCTTTCTTAATGCTGTGTAAGACATTCACCAAAAAGCTGCCATTCTCAAAAGCTGAAAGCTGAAGCAACAGGTATTGCCCATGCAGTCAACAGGCTTAAGAAGCACATGCAGATGCATTTGAAATTAACAGCCACGGTACAAACCGAATACACTTTGGAAATGTACTTAAGAAACAGGCTAATCTGGCAACCTAGGTACATTAGCATGTATACCTTACAAATTCTAAACGCGGGCTTAGTTCTGCTAGGATCCTTATTTCCAGGTACAGGGCTATTTATCATTTAAGAGCAAATACCAGGGACTGTCCTTTTTACTGTTGTCTCCATCATTAGGAGGGAGAGTGAGAGTTTTAAGCCAGGAGTGCATCAACTGCATTCTAAGAATACTTTACTTTTTTGAAGGTAAAAACAAACAATTTCCTATTATATCTTCCTGTTTCCTATTATATCTTTCTCCTAAACTATCATCATGTATTATAGTAAAGATTCTGAGGAGTTCTGAAATAAAGAAAATTATTCAGTGACCGAAAAGAACTCAGAAGAAACAGCCTCTTGGTTTCAGCTCTAGTTTTCATTTTGATCTCCTATTAGTGGCTGCCTGGAATGACCCTTAAAGCGTAACCAGATGAAATGTTATCCTTAATGAGCAATCCTAGCTGGCAGATTTGTGGACCACTGCTGGGCCATTAAACAGTTTTTGGCAAATGTTGTCATAGGATAAAAGGCTTTAGCCAGTTCCATTTTCATACCTCGCTTCTGGTACTTCAGAGCTAAGTACAGGAGGAAGGGGAAGGGGGGAAATGTTAAAATGCAAGGAAAGTTAAGTCCCTATCAACTTGACTCTCTAACCACCCATTTTTTCCATCAAAATTCTGGACATTTAAATGAATGGGTCCAGCACGAGCGATGATTTGAACATCTATTCTGCAAGTGTGAGAATGTAAAGAGTGACAAATATCCTCTTCTTCCAGTCCACAGTTTATTTAAAAGATGGGTGACATCTCACAGGAATAAGGGACAAGTACATCAATGTCTCTGGAAGAGCCACCTTCTCTAATGGAAGACAGCCTTCAGGTGCCTTGGCCTGGCATGGTTCCCTCATGAGTCTTTTTAAGAAGAAAAAAATGAACTACCCAAGCTACTTCAAGGATTTGAACTGAACTTACAGTCAATCTTTTCTTAACTGGGTCTTTACCTTTTGGGGTTCATGTCTATTTATGTTATTAAGTATCATTCCTGGAAGAGCTCATCTGATGTGTGCACACAGAACATGTTAAAGTAAAAGCTCGCTCACACAAAATAGTGCAGGCATGTAAAAGGCAGCAAGTCAGCAGGCTCAAGCAAGAAATCTACAAATCTACAAGAAAACCATCGTCTTTCCAGTTCCCTCTCCATCTCCCTGATAAATAGAGATGAATGTGCGTAAGCCACCAGGAGGAGGGAAGCTTGCTTTTAATAAGAAAAGTTAAAAATATTTCAATGGAGCTCACCCAGTTTGTTCCTCTGATATGGTAAATCATATATTCCCACAGTTCCCAGCTGCATGAACAACTGACTGATAAAATCAGTGACATCCTACGAAGAGTTTACAATGGGAAACTGAGTCATTATGTTGAAATTAAACATCATGAAAGAAAACAAATACATTGTTAGGCATGCATTAAGTGTTAAACTTCTCATTCCTTCCCTGCATTGAAATATACTTAAAAGTAAAATCCATGCCCTAGCCAGTTTGGCTTAGTTGATAGAGCGTTGGCATGCAGACTGAAGGGTCCTGGGTTCAATTCCGGTCAAGGGCACATGCCCAGGTTGTGGGCTCGAGCCCAGTAGGGGGAATACAGGAGGGCAGCTAATCAATGATTTTCTGTCATCATCAATGTTTCTATCTCTCTCTCTCTCCCCCTCTCCCTTCTTCTCTGAAATCAATAAAAATAAAACAAATTTTTTTTAATATATTTTATTGATTTCTTACAGAGAGGAAGGGAGAGGGATAGAGAGCTAGAAACATCGATGAGCGAGAAACATCGATCAGCTGCCTCCTGCACATCCCCCACTGGGGATGTGTCCGCAACCCAGGCACATGCCCCCGACCGGAATCGAACCTGGGACCCTCCAGTCTGCAGGCCGACGCTCTATCCACTGAGCCAAACCGGTTTCGGCAAAACAAATTTTTTTAAAAAGGAAAACTCCAAGATGGTTTTAAAAAATATCCTAATTTGTGTATTGACTCTACATTGAAACAAGTAAACCTATCCTAATAAAAAGTATTCTAAAGGCTAAATTGTTACATCTTTAAAATGAACCCAGAAAGCACAGTGAGAAAAATGGTGCATGATTCTCAAATCCTTTCAGTGGTTCTCAACCTTCTGGCCCTTTAAATACAGTTCCTCATGTTGTGACCCAACCATAAAATTATTTTCGTTGCTACTTCATAACTGTAAGGTTGCTACTGTTATGAATCGTAATGTAAATATCTGATATGCTGGATGGTCTTAGGCGACCCCTGTGAAAGGGTCGTTCGACCGCCAAAGGGGTCGCGACCCACAGGTTGAGAACCGCTTTTTTACATGGAAACACACGGTTGACATTTCTGGCTGTTGTGACAAACTTACAAGTCACTGGGCAAACAAAATGGGCAAATAAATCCTCTGGTATGGATTTCACCAACCATTTCCAAAACACCCCAAGATTTTCAAATTTCCCTGTTCTAAGTAGCAACCTGCTTAAGAAACACTATGGTAGTCTTTTTTAGCTTACAGTTCTATGAAGACTGCTGGGCCCAAAGCGAAAACTCAATTAGAAATCAATGAAGTTTGCTTGACTATCACCAAATAAAATTTTCAGCCACAATGAGTCTAGTTTCTTTTCTAGACACCTTCTTCAGCCCTTGAATAGCTTTAATTTTCAAAATAAAATCTGAGCTCCCTTTTCCAGCCTCAGAGAAAGTGAAATGAGAAACAGTAAAAATTTAGAAACCTATTCAACTTGAGGATATTCTTTGGAGTTTGGTTTGTTTCATCTGACTTCCTTCCATTGGGCAATTTGATGGGTAGGAGAGTACATAGAGAATGTTTGCACAAGCTAATCGTAAAAAGTGAACAAAGAATATAAAAGCATAAAGGAGAAAAATTGTAACTTATTCATCACATAAAGCCAACCATAATTAAATGTCCTTTATATTGTTTTGTTTTGCTATGTTGCAATTTTATAAGAAGTTGGCTGCTTTTAATCTGCAAGTACTTTTAAGGGTTCAAATTTATTGAAGTGTGAACTATAACCCAATGGTAAATGCTAGTAAACTCTGATAGTCTTAGAAAATGGCCTGCAAGACGGTATTGTATTTTATCTTGGGCAGCATATTGTCTGAAAAGATTGAAATGGAGACCTCTAAGAAAGTTTCTATTTTGCCATCGGTCTAATTACTTCTTATTGTTTTACATAAGGTTGTTTCAAATGTTTAGGTGCCTGCCTGGGTGGGCCCTAGATGCATTTGAAATCGTAACCCCCGTAAAGTGTTCAGCTAACTGAATGTCTACAGGAACTTGAGAAGGGAAAAGTATCTTGTAAGAATATTTTTTACATCATGCTTTCCGCCTGACTCAAACTATGCACAAACTGTCAGTGTCAAGGTTCACTTCCTGCCACGGTTTGATCTAGCTTGAAGTCACATGGAAAAAAAAAGATTAACAAGCAGATAAAAACCAAGATAAAAAAGGCACAGGAACCTCAAAAGTCATTAAAAAATGTTCATCTTCCAAGTGAGGCCGGAAAAAGGAGAACTTATTGAAGGGAGTTCCTAGCAATAGAAGTGGCATTGCAATTGCTTCAAAGTTGGAAATCTGAGCTGCAGGATGTCCTGGGGGAGCAGAGGGTGGAGCAGGAGCCTCACAGAATACCCTGCGTGCAGCAGGAGCTCAGCATACTCTAGCACAGTGGTTCTCAACCTTCCTAATGCCGCGACCCTTTAATACAGTTCTCCTCATGTTGTGGTGACCCCAACCATAAAATTATTTTCGTTGCTACTTCATAACTGTAATTTTGCTACTGTTATGAATCATAATGTAAATATCAGATATGCAGGATGTATTTTCATTGTTACAAATTGAACATAATTAAAGCATAGTGATTAATCACAAAAACAATTTGTAATTATATATGTGTTTTCCAATGGTCTTTGGCGACCCCTGTGGAAGGGTCGTTCGACCCCCAAAGGGGTCACGACCCACAGGTTGAGATACTTCTGTCACGGCCACAGGTTGAGTGGCCGGGTGCTGTATTTTCTGTGAGACACTTAAACTTGAACAAAATCCTGGTTACGTTTTGATCATTGTTCACTTAAAAAAAATAAATCAATCTTTATTTGGGAGATACTCTCTAAGTCCGTAGGGAAAAGTCTCATGTGCTTTACTCATTAAATAGTTTGTGCTTTTCTTGAGTTACCCACCCTGCATGGTTTCCCCAGCACCACAGTAGGAAAAACCCTGGTGTTTATGGTGAAACCCAACAAGCGTTCTGTGTCAACCAGTGTCACCAAAAGTGCGTGACTTTCCTGCTATCTAAAATCAATTCCACTCTATCATTTTTCTTAAAAGTTTTAAAACTCTGCTCCCCATCTTTCAGTTAGATTTGCAAAAAGGATAAGCTTTTATCACTCTGCAAAGTATATTTATCTGGAACTGCTTATGTTAGACATTTTAAAAACTAGCATCGTATGTGTAGTCTACTCTGCTTACTGATATTACCATCTTTAAGACCAGTCCTAACTACTGACCACTCAGAGGGGTTGATTTTTCAGCAGGAACAGAAAACATGTTTCTGATAATGGTTTTGGTCAAATGCGCATTTAAAAGTCTTCCTATTTTTATTCCTAATAAGAGAATACCATCCAAGAAGCAGATAATTAGTTAGGGTTCTGTCCTACAGTAGGGCAAAAGTAGGTTTACAGTTGAGATCTACAATTGTTCATATGGAAAATAATACAATAATTAATACATAATACAAGAATAAACTTTCGCATATTCACAACTGTAAACCTACTTTTGCTCCACCCTGTATTGGCTCTTCCCATGTACGACTGAGAACACTTATAACCTTATTTGGTGTTAACCAGTGGTTTTTCTCTTGACCTGCTACTAATGTCTGAGGCTATGGGGAAAGACCAAATCTGCTTACACGATGACTTAAAAAGAAATGCAAAGATGTGGTCTGAGTGCTCCTACAGTCACCAGCTGTCCCCTCTGCCCCCACCAGCCCTGACTATGGAAGCTGAGAGCAAACTGACGGAAAAATATTGATGGAGGGAAACTACCCTTGTCTATTTCAGATTAGGAGTCAAGCAATGAAATGCTGACTTTAGATGTTTCCCCACCAGTTTCTCCAATTCTACAGAAGTAAAGAATGAAAACTTTTCTAAGCCAAATGGGTAAAACTACTTACTCATCTATTTACATACTGCTCTCCATCTTGCACTTACAGTGGGGCCTTGACTTACGAGTTTAATTCGTTCTGAGACCGAGCTTGTTAAGGAGCTTGTTAACTCAAATTACTCTGTCAACTCAATGCAAAAAATCAGCCGAGAGACAGCTGGTATCTCAAAAAACTCGTTAGTCAGGACACTTGTAAGTCAAGGCCCCACTGTATATAATTTATTCAACCTTTTTTTCAACTGAATTCCACTTCAGTTCATTTTTTAAATAAATATGAACTAAGTGTCTATTATGTGTCAAGCAAGAAAAAAAGGAGGGGGGAGGGGAGGGGAAAGGGAAGGAGGGGAGAATGATACACAGTAACAACTGTCTTGACTATCTCTTTCCTTGTACACCAATTCCATAGGAATTCTCAACCTTGAAGCAAAAAATATTGAAGGGCTGTGATAGGATACCTATAAGAAGTCTGCAGAGCCCCAGGCTCAGGAATATGCAAACCAAGAATTCTAATCAGATTGAATTATATTTACTACATATGCACTACAGTTTTAAAAATTCATATAAGCCCTAGCTGGTTTGGCTCAGTAGACAGAGCGTCGTCCTGTGGACTGGAGTGTCCCAGGTTTGAGTCCGGTCAAGGGCATATGCCAGAGTTGCAGGCTTGATCCCCAAGAGGCAGCCGATCAATGATTCTCATCATTTATATTTCTCTCTCTTTCCCTTCCTCTCTGAAATAAATAAAAATGTATTTTTGAAATTTCATATAAATACTGTTATGATTTTCAAAAATACATAGTATCCAGAGGTAATATTTAATAACTGGTCGACCATGGGCTTCAAATAATAAAATGGACTTTGACCATCAATAGCCAACATGCATAGACAGTTCCTGCCAGCTGAGTAGCATACCAGTCAATCCAGGTGAAGAGAGACAATTTTTTTCCTATTTTCTTTTTTACTATTAAAGAAATTA